ATGATGAGGATGCATAAATGAATGAATAATAGAAAATAAAGTAAAACGGAGCAAGTTTACATTAAACTAGATATCAAGAAAAACCAGAAACTTGGGGCTTTAGGAAGTTGGCTTCCCAAGCTAATGGATGTGGTAACCTCTGGAGGAGACTGGTCTCCTCACCCTCTGCAAGTGGAAGATGGCTTTCCAATGAAGGACACAGCTGGGAATGGGAAGACCCAGGCCTCTGGCTCCAAACAAGTGGGGACGGTGGGGAGGCAGAAGAAGAACGGTAGTTAGCTCTTTTTTATGGCCAATCTCTAGGGGTCATAAAAAGTCTCCTAAATACTTCTAGGATGGGGAGAAAGCAGGATTATTTAAGAGCGCCTAGGAAAGACTTTTTTCCCAGAAAAATCTCCCCTGTGCTTTTTAAAATCTCACCAGTTAAAATATTTTATTTGTTTTAGTTAGAAATACATGGTCCCTTCCAGCTCAAATTGACGCCAGCAATTCGTGTCAAGGAATGTTAACCTCTTCTTCTCATTCCCATGATCACATTATTTAAGAGAAGGATTGCTAACCAAAATGTATGTACAACTTTTGAAGTCCAGGTTCCTAACGCTAAGTCCAGCAGAACTTCCCTCCTACCATGGCTTCAGATTTGCCGTAATACGTAGCTCAGGGGACTGCATACTCCAGTGTATACAGTCAGGTAACGTAAATGTAAGTTAATGTTATATAGTATAATTGACAGGTCATGTAAATGAGTGATGACTAGTTGTAAAACAATAGGGAATGATGAAGAATATGTCAAAAGGAGAGCGTGTGTTCTGAGAGGGGAGCCACTACTTAGTTCCAGGGTATTGTTGCTATGCAGAAATGTGGACCCAGCTTTATCAAGATCTTTCAATTTTTCAAGAAAGGCTGGAAATCCATATTTTAATATAAAATGTACGAATTTTTAAGCATGTCTCTGGCTGAAAGTGGCTTTTTGGCTGCCAATTCGTGGGTCCTGATCTAAATGAACAGGCAGCACTGAGAAAATGGAAAAAGACAAAGGGGAGGCCTACTCTGTCCAGAAAGAGGGAGGCAGAGTTAAAGGGAAGGAAAGGACGGGAAAGAGGCACAGAAAGAAAGTGGAAGTCAAATTTCACCAACCTCAAAACCTGGTCTAGGGGGCCCCAACATATCTGTCTTCTAATCTGAGAGCAAGAAGGAAGAGATGACAAGGAGGGAAGGGGAGAAAAAGAACCAGCTATTGAATATTTACTAGAGGGCAGATGTGGCATCACGTGCTTTCACACAAGTAGCCTCACTGAGATATGGCAATGCAAGAAAAAAAATCCTACGCATAGGAAAAAGAAGGAAATATATCAAAATACTAACAGTAGATGTGTCAGATTTTGAGAGCCCCTTTTCCATGCTCCATAATTTTTAACCATAAATATAATATGGTTGTATTAATTCTATAATAAAAAACAAATTTGGGGCCGGCCCCGTGGCGTAGCGGTTAAGTGCGCGCGCTCCGCTGCTGGCGGCCCGGGTTCAGATCTGGGGCGAGCACCGATGCACCGCTTGTCAGGCCATGCTGTGGCAGCATCCCACGTAAAGTGGAGGAAGATGGGCACAGATGTTAGCTCAGGGCCAGTCTTCCT